TATTCAATATTGTTTTATATTAAACACGTAATCTCTGATTACGCGTTACGCGTTACGCAAAAAATAACAGTGCATGGGATCACATCCTAATTCTTTCATGTTTTTTATGTTAGTGTTGTAAACGTGTAGGCAGAGGGGGCTGCGCCCCCCTGCACCCCCCCTAAAATCTAACCTAACCCTAACCTAACCTGTGTTACTACAATATCAATAGATATGAGTGAAAATTTTGCGAGGAGGAGTGCAGAAAGAAAAGTTTAGGTTAGGTTAAGGTTAGGTTAGATTTTAAGGGGGTGCAGGGGGGCGCAGCCTCCCTGCCTACACGTTTACAACACCGACAAAAAGTTTCGAAGAATCACGAAGAAAAAATTGTACACAATGTCGCAAAATAAAAACTTAGTTTTCAAACTTCAATTGTTCATAACTTTTTTATTAACAACGAGCGACGGCTAAAATTTACGGATTGTTACTCAGGAAGGTGTCCTTGACAACATATGTCAAGCTCATTGAAATCGGAGGAGGGTGACCTTTTCTGTATATTTTCCATAACTTCTTAGTCGATATTCAGAAAAATACAGAGATATGACATTAAGTATTTCAGAATTACACGCGCTAAGAGACTTGAACAAACGCACGAGATTGTGTAAGAAATCCGCTGCGCGGCGCCACGTTACGGGTAACGACGAATATCACGCGGTGCGTCGCAAATAACACACGTGTGCGATCACGCAGTGGACACGAGGAAATACCGGCGAAAACGGGTCCTGCCCCGAAAGGGCACGGACGGAGAACACTTTGAGTCGAAATCGCGTGCGAATAACACGTAGAGTGCCGCAGAACAGATCCTAGACAGTGTTCACAGTTTTAGCTTCCTTACAGCATGCTGAAGCGGTGGAAGAGATGCGCACAACAGCAGCGATTTATGCAGATAGAATTCGCTGCTGTTGTGCGCATCCCTTCCACTGCTTCAGCATGCTGTAAGGAAGCCAAAACTGTGAACACTGATCCTAGATCAAATAGGTCGGATTCGTAAAGCCGTTGGACGATAGTCGGGTAGGCTTTTGTAACGTCGTAAATTAAGAAAAAATAAAGGATCGTGATTGATTTAAACAACACAATTGAGTCGTGATAATTATTGAAAGCCTTCTTTGTGTCGTTAATCCTGTCGTGCGAGAGGCAAAGTGCCCTTGACTTTGATATCGGTATCTTTGGTATATTTCTCTTATCGGTTATTATTATCTGGAAGTGCCGGTATTTGAACACGAAAAACAGCTTTGACTTTCGCGTGTTATCGAGGTTATTCTGAATGCTGTTGAAGGTCGAAAAATATATCCAACGAGTTGTTCGTCGACGTTATTTCGGGCTGACTAAGAAAATAAAATTAAATTTGGGTCTATCTTTTAATTGACGCAAACAACAAAACAAAGGAAAACACGACATACACGAATGACGAGCTAGATAAGCCCGGATTATTGCGACCGCGACTGATCGGGACGAGAGCAGCGGCAAATAAAGATAATCATTCTTATTCTTAACAAACGCAAACCATAATACATTATATTTTCGGCACTATATCGCGCGACATTGAACTCGTCGCGGAGTAGCCCGTCGAGATTCGATTCACGAACAATATAAATCGCGAGAGGTGAGGAAGAGAACCAACCACACTTACGCTTGCCGGCGACTCTCCACAAACCGATAACCATTCTGCTCGCCTTTTTGACATTGTCTTAACCGGTCCTTCTCAGATGTTGTCCGGCACACAGCCTTACATCTCGGCATCACGACTTGCGTGAGAGACGGTGAACTAGCGGGATTGACGGTACGCGCAACGATGAATTCGGCTCCTTCGGCAATTGCTCTTCTCGCCGTGCGCTGTTCTTCGCGCTATCTAATGAGCCAATCGTATTCTTCCTTTTGCGGCACTATGACTGACAGCGGCCACGTGTGTATCGGTAACTCATTGACGCGGGCCCTTTTCTGGCCGCATCGGCCCGTTCGGCTTCAACTTTTCAGGTCGCTGAGCTTATTCGGGCTCAGCTTCCGACACCGCGGGGTCGAAAACTCTACAGGGATCTCCGCTTCGGTTTTTAGTAAAGTCGGAGTGTCGACGTCTCCCGTTCTTGGTCCGTCGTTATCATGGTCGCCGAGCGCCTTGTGTCTATGAGGCCCTTACGCCCCTGTATCGCTATCTGTCTCTATCTTCTCTCTTTCTTGCTCCTCTTTACCTGCCGGTCACGTACAGTGTGTGGCTCTCCTCCCGCTGAAAATAACTTACAAAATAGCCGCCGAGCGGCATATTACAATACGCAAAATATAACGCAAACCCAAAGTAAGCGCATTCGCCTGCGCTACGCAATCTAATGAGCTGCTCTCTCTCAAATAGGGGGGAAACGCAAGCTCACCGCCTCCTATGCCGGCCGGAAATGCATCCTTGTGACGGACACAAAAAGTGTCACGTCACAAGATATATAACATATATACATATAATATTAAATATGGAAGTCACAAAACATATAGAAGATGTAACTTACTATGAATTATTTTTATTTTACTAAATATTTTATTATTTAAATATAATTTTTAACTTTCTTTGGTTTTAAATTTCTAGGCCAACCATTTTTATGTGATACCTAACAATATATATTTACCAAAGATACACTTAAAAAGAGACGTGTACTAAAGATATAAGTATATTAATGATACGTTACTTACCTGATTACACATGACTACATATTAATGAAAAAGTAAAATGCAATATATAGTGTGACGTGGCAGGGCGACTGCAGTTGCACTCGCCCGCCCCTATCACAAAAATTCGTTTCCGCCACCTGAAATCCGCACTCGGAAACCTACCGAGGAAGCAAGGCTGGAACGAACATCGAGAAATCATAGAGCAACGGTTAATACGACCTACAAGGGCAGGGGCGACGAGAGAGAAGCGTCAACATCGACAACCAACAAAAACAACGACGTGTCCGGTGTG